GTGGTTTGCGCGGGCCAAGTGCACGTACGCCATGACCCGATCTCACGAAATTTCCTACAACAGTTCATTTCGCGTTCCCTGCAAGTTTCTCGTCCAAAGTTGCGAAAGTTCGTGCGAGGTTTCGCAATTCATGATGTAGAGCGAAAGTTTGTACGCATTTTCGTTTTGAGGAACCTCTCTAGTGACTCTTTTGGTTCATGCGAGACGAGTCAATGAGTCGGTGTGGCTTAGAATCTTTCGCTGTAGAAGAAATCTATTCGTATGTCTATTGGAGAAATAATTGTATTCACTGGTTATAAAATAGGTTAAGACAAACTCACAGAATAAATACCATCTGTCCCTTGGTGTTCGTCCTAAAGAGGTTCGACTGGATATCATTCATACTCACCAAAAGATGTGTAAGATTTTATTATCACGGAGTGCCTTGTTTATCTCTCAGTATCAGTACCTCCAACCCTTTTATCCTCAGGATCAGTGTAGTTGTTGGAACGAGGTGTCGGACTCAGCAATGTATTTGTTTACATTTTAATACATGTTTATTGTTCCTCCTTTGCTGTGTTGTTTTAGAAAATCGTGGACTAACAGTTTGAAGTCATTGAACTACTTCCAAACCTTGTAACGACATCAACAGGATTACGATTTCAGTGCAATATGATGCTGGATGACCTTATCACGATAACCCATGATTATAAACCATTATAAACAAAGAATCAACAAAAACATCTGCGACACGCACCTTGCGCATGGCTACATTTCTCAAATAAATCTGATAGAGGGTGGGGAAATCTGAAATATCTGAGAGGCAAGACAAATTTATGAGTCATGAAATTCTGCAACAGCAACATGCACAGAATGACCTGTGTATAAAAAAAGTATAACCACCACTACTCACATGTTATTATTGTTATTTATTTTACTAGGGTGTTTCCCACAGCTGCACAGACCTATGGTCTTCTTCTTATTATTATTATTATTATCAAATTTTTGATAGGGCAATCCCCACAGGCCTAAGGCCTTCTTACAGGGTACCCTAGAAATGAAAGTACTGAATGACGGAATAGGTGCAGTGAAGAGCATAAGCGGACTGCAGCGGGGAGTGCATTCCAACGGTCGGAACCGATGAAAGAAACTGAAAAGAGACCGAAACGAGTTTTAGCTTTTGGTAGAGTGACAGACGAAGATACCTGAGAGCGAGTGCAGGAATTGGTACGAGTAGAAGTAGAACGAAGGCAAAAGCAATCAGTAAGGAGAGTAGTAGTTAACTGATTCAGGACACGAAACACTAAGATATAGAGTTTGAACTGATAGCGCACAGACAAAGGGAGAATGTGATGGCGTGCATTAACAAGGGATACGTCAGAAAAGCGAGGCATACTGAACACAATGCGTAGAGCTCTATTACTAAGACGGACTAGACGGTCATGAAGAGTTACTGACAAGCAATGAGCAAATGAGTTACTCCCATACTCGAGTACTGTCTGAATGGAACAAATGTAAAATGCACGCTTCGCAGTTACCGTCATGTGATCTCGGACCTTTCTGAACATGGCTAACTTACTTCCAACTTTCCGCTCTAGTTGGCTAACCTGCTCTCCGAAGGAGAGATGTTCGTCGAGTACAACGCCAAGGTATCGAATGTGTGCACTAGGGTTGATTGTGACCTCACCCAGCTGTAGAGCGACGCTGGGGTCAAGGGGCTTGCACTTTGACCTGAACACGACAAACTGCGTCTTGGAAGGATTCAGCAGTAAGCCTCTGGCCGCCAAGAACTCTTTCACTTTGACAATGTCTTCCGTCAGCTCCTTGCACAACTGTTCAACGTTCTTGCCAGCTTTGTAAAGGGAGACATCGTCCGCGTACTGTCGAGCCTTGCAGTGCCGGGGTACAGAGGGGAGCTTTCTGACTGATAGATTGAAGAGAGAGGGCCCCAAGACGGAGCCTTGCGGAACCCCCCTGTTGCTGCTATATTCTAGGCCGTGTTGTGTCTTGGTGACTACACGTTGCTTCCTGTGGGTAAGGTAGCTACAGAACCACTGCAAGGCAGTACCACCGACACCGATCTCCAGAAGTTCACTCAGTAGAACTGCATGACTAACTGTGTCGAATGCCTTAGACATGTCTAGAAAGGCAGCTACGACATAATCACCTTTGTCCAAGGAGAGCATCCAGTCGTTGATCACGGGAGTGAGCAAGTCCTCGCAGGAGTGGCCTCTGCGGTAGGCAAATTGCTCAGCAGGTAGGGGTACCAGTGGTGGTGGTGCATTATAGATATAGTACATTAGTTGGTCGTGTACAATATGTTCCAGTAGCTTAGACATGTGGGACAGGAGTGATATTGGTCTATAGTTGGATGGGACTGACTTATCTCCACGCTTGTAGATAGGCCGCACATTTGCTAGTTTGTAAGTCGATGGAAAATCGCCAGATGTAAGAGACATGGTAAATAGTTTGGCCAAAGATGGGGCGATCTCATCGTTGATGAGCTTGTAAGCCTGGGCGGGGATGTTATCAGGTCCTGTGGCTTTACGACTGTTCATTCTCTGGATATGGAGTTGGACTTGTGGAACAGTGACTGGTGTGAACTGTGTCAGTGAGTATTCCGATAAAGGGCCATTGGGAGTGCGTAGTGTACTGCCAGAAAGTGATGTATCGTTGACAACGTCTGTAAATGTCTTTGTGATGTCGGCTACTTCGGCAGCAGGTTCCTGGTTGATTTTAATTCTACCCAGTAGATTGTTCATGACACTCCATTGCTCTCTTGGGTGGTTTCGATGATTGATTAGTTGTTGCTGGAAGTATGTAGACCGTTTCTTCCTAGTCAAAAGTTTGCATTGTCTTCGTAGAGTTCGGAATTGTTGCAGCAGGTCTGGGCGATCTGGACGTTTTATCATTGCACGGTGTGCTCGTTTACGCTTGAATAAAGTCTGCCGGAGCTCATCGTCTATCCAAGGCGATGGAGTATAGCTCTTCTTGGCGTTAACGGTCTTTAGTGGGCAGTACTCATTCAAGGCATCACTGACTGCATCCTGCCAGTGTTCAGTATAACTATCTAGAGACATCTGTGATGAACTGCGTGTGATCTGCTGGTGGAGAGTATACATATGCTTAGCAGCTGTCTCTTGGAATTGCTTGATCTTCAACGCGCGCAGCGGTGGCTTTCGTACTTGTACCTGTCTGTTTGTCTTGAGCGTGCTGGTGGTAGCATGGATAGTGTAGGTCACACGAACAAGTTGGTGATCGGAAATATCACATGGAATAACATTGCAGTCTTTGTAAATCAGTTCATCCCTGCCTGGTCTTGCAGTGGACGTGGTGGAGGAGGAGCTTGAGATCAGTGCTAGGTCTATGGTTGTTGCACTGGGGAATCTAGTTGGTGACGTGACAACGTTTCGGAGATCAAAATCAGAGCAGAATGTTCGTAGGTGAGGGTAGTGTGCGTGACTAGGGTCTTGGACATTGACATTGAAATCGCCTAGAATTATGCACGCGGAGGAGGCCGGTGTACAGTCCAGTATGTCATCAGTTAGGCTAGATAGGCTTTGCCAAAATGCCACAGGTACTGTTGGAGCTCTATATGCACAGAGGATAGTGAGAGGCTGGGGGTGAATGTTCACGTGTACTGCGAGGGCTTCAATGGGAGAGGAGTGATGTAGTGCTCGATTATCAAAGCCTTCTCTTACGTATATACTGACACCACCTCCTCTCTTTGAGTTCCGATCAAGTCTATGCATGGTGTATCCAGGTACTGTAATACATATGTCAGGTACACTGTCGGATAGCCAAGTTTCCGTTAACGTTAATATGTCTAAATCGTGAGCATGCATGAGTGCTTCAATTTCATGTAATTTATTATACAGGCTACATACATTGAGGTGAGCGATACTTAGCTTTCGTACTGACGTTTGACGGGAGCCCCTAGAAAGGTTAATAATCTGTTCCCCCGCAGAAGAACATGCATTATGCTAGTGCCATTTTCTGCAAGAAAAGGCTTGCACATCAATGCGTATAATCAAGAGTACATAACCCCGGGGGGGGGGGGGGTTATGTACTCTTGGTATAATACGGTATTGATATGATCAAGAGTACATAAACCTCTTGATATGATGTGAAGGCCATCATTTCCATATTGATATACATTCCATTGATTGGTGACAGAAAAAACAAAAGAAATTATAGCAATAAAAACTGCTTTATGGCAGTTTTCTAAAAAAAGTTATTGTGTTCTAGTCCATGGACCCCGTCTAAAAAGTAAGAAATTACCGAAATGTGATAGCTGAAAATTAAAATTTCACACAAAACCTCACAATAATCACACACAGAATTAAAAGCTACATGTAGAAGACCTTTTCCCCTCGTGATCCTCTTTCCTATGCATGCATGTTGCCAATTGTTGGTGCAGTACAAGTTCAAGTTGAAAGCAGATTTTCAAGTGTTGTGATTATTGTGAGGTTTTGTGTGAAATTTTAATTTTCAGCTATCACATTTCGGTAATTTCTTACTTTTTAGACGGGGTCCATGGACTAGAACACAATAACTTTTTTTAGAAAACTGCCATAAAGCAGTTTTTATTGCTATAATGCATTATGGTACCAATAGTCCATAAACGTTAAACATGCACTCTTGATGGTACCGGTATGATATGAGGCCTGCATGCATAACGTCAAGAGTACGTAGACCTACCCTGTACATAAAGGTTCATGATTGTACTCTTGATAACGTTACATGCACGATCACATTCACCACTGAGGTCACTGGTCAAGTACCCCGGTTTGGGCCCCCCCGGTCCCTGGTTCGGGCGTATCGCGTACCGTGAGTCATACCGTGACGTATCGGGAACTGCTTCGCAGCTTCCGCATCACCAGATCACACAGCTACACACAGGCAAGTCTTTTTCTGCACACAGAGTCTTTGAAGACGTGTTCACTTCAAAAAATAAGAAGAGAGAGGATAATGAAAAGTTCTGATTTGTCAAGTGTTGCTACAATTCCGTTTCCTAGTGCTTCGTCTGTGGTTGCCATTACCTGTGGGAAGTAGAGTCAAATGGTTTGCCGGTGCTGCAATTGCCCTGTTTCAACTAGCTTCTGTCAGCCAGCCTCTTCTTCGGACCTGAATGATTACAATCGTGCTTGCGTTGAGCAGAGCAAAAGCAAATACGTATCGTCAATGGTCTAGTCGGCATGCGGGGATGGATAGGTGTGGTGTAGTGTGCTCTCTATGTGTAGCATGGTGACGCCGTCCAGGTCACACCAAGACGCCGGTGGCCCTGGCAATGACAGAAGTACCAGTCAGGTTACTCCACCTCCGTCACCATATGTGTCGCGTGCCACTGGCAAGGCTCGTGATGGCAGTGGGACTCCAGTCAAGAAGTTGAAACAACGGATCTCGGAGAGATCGCCATTTGGTCGGGTTAAGCTGAGACGGAAAAGGCGGACAAAGGACTCTGTCAGTGGTTCTGAGTCTATAGCCTCGCTGGATCAATTGCTGAATGAGGAAGCTGAGGCTGGTGCAGCTAAGGGTGCTGGTCAGGAATCAGCACAGCGTGATGCCACCCTGGATCAGGATGCTGCAAACAGTGATGTGGCTAAACCGGATGAGCAGAATGCAACTGCCAGTCAGAGGGCCCCACTTCCACACATCAGTGTAGTCTGCCAGGTGGACGGCCAGAGCGTGTCACCGGAGAAACCCCGATCTGAGACAACGTGGAAGGAGGGGTCGTCGCCGGGAATACACCGATCCGGGACGATGTGGAAGGCGTCGGACGTCACCATCACCCGGCGCCACGCCGTTCGCCGTCGCAACATGGACACCAAGCCGATGGTGAGGATCCGAAGTCAAACAGTCAGCCTCAGGCCTTCGCCCAGCGGCGGTCCTGCCAGTCTACCTCTGGCCTGTATAACGCCGATTAATCGCCTCGCCCAGTTGCGTGCCACCAACCAGGCACAGCAGTTGCCCAGTGGAAAGAACGCCAGCACGTATAGCTCTACGCTGGGCGGTCCGGAGCTGCAACGGCCCGCGTCGTTCATGTCTGCCGGTGCCGCGGCTGGCCCGATGTCGCCACCACCCTCGTACCAGCTGCGCAAACGATGTCGTGCGAGCATGGGCGACATCGGACCGGTACCGTTCAGTACGTCCCAACTGGCGCTCGCTTCCTCGGACAGCCGGCTGTGCGGTGCCAAGCAGTCGTACGGCGTACACGAGTCGGAGTCGGAAACGTTTTCGTCATCAGGCGAGGAGGAGGAAGAGGAAGAGGAGGAGGATGGTGGTGAGCGGCAAGCGGAGGACGCGGATACGGATGTGGATGTGTCGGCGATGTGCAGAAAATACAAGTACATCGTCAACGGTTTGGTGTACAGCTGCGCGGTGGTGGCTCTTGGTATCAGCGGTCTTACGCTGGGCGATGCCATTTCTTCCGACGCTGGCAGCGCGAGCACGGGTATGTCGGCGCGCCAGTCAATGTCGTCCACCGGCCCGTCGTCCGATCCCGAGACATCGCAGGACTCCGGCTCCTGGCAGGGCTCAGGCGCGGGCACGATCTCTTCGCCATTCCACCCCCGCGGCGGTGTGAACTCAAGCCATGCGACAGGTAGTAGCGGCGGGGCAGAGGTCAAGTTTATCAGCAGCAATACCCGTCAGCAGCTGCATTGGGACTTGCCGCCTTCGGTCGTGGATGCGGTGGAAAGCTCCACGAACGACGCGTCGACTGGCACCTCGCCAGTGAAGAAGAGCCAACGCCGCCGCTTCAGCATCAGCCGCAGCCAAACCATGCAGGAGGATAAGTCGGACTGCCATAACACTCTGTCGGCTGCCTCCCACACATCGTTACCGCTGAAGCAGTCGGCGGCTGCGGCGAGAAGCGCCTTGGATGGCCCGCCCGCCGCCGCCACAGGGCCTAACACGCCGCCCGAGTCTCACCGGGACAAGAAGCGACGGCATCTAGTCAACGTGCTCAGCCGCCGGTTGCGCAACAACTCGTCCTCGGTCAACGACCTGCTGCAGGCGGTGAAGGAGGGACGCGTGACGACGAAAAACCGCTCGTCGCTCGCCCGCGCCCCGGACAGCCCCGGCGGGCGCGTGTCCGCCCTCGATCCGCATCTGATCTCGGCCGCCAGGGTACTACTGGAAAAGAAAGACTCGCCGTGCCCCTCACCAGCTGGTTCTGGTAGCGGAGCGGACTTCGAGAAGATCTTGGACAAGATGAATGCCGGCGCCAAGAAGATGAACAAGGTCAGTGTCCGTGTCAGTGTTCTTGCCCATTTGTGTGTGTGTGTGTGGGGGGGGGGGGGGGTTGCGTGTGTGTGTGTGTGTGTGTGTGTGACTGTGTCGCGTTTGCGCACGTTACTTTTTGTGAATTGTTATTGGATTCCTCAGAAGCACTGCACCTATCAAGAGGGTCTACAACAAAGTGAATACTGAATACTGAATGTCATGAAATTTTCGGTCGGGAATATTTTCGGACAAAGCCGAATTTCGACCTTTCGTACGGATTTTTTCCGTACAGTGCTGCATGCTAAATGCACGTGTTCGCGTGCAGTACGCATATATAGTGTACATCACTTCACCTGAACAAATTTCATTCTACTTCACCGATTTTGAAGATCTTGGGCTCGTTGGAAAGCTCTTGATGAGAGAAATGCAATGAGCCCAAACTCGCCAACAGCAGAACAGATTTTAGCACGGAATTTTAGTACGAAATCATACGAAAATAAAATCCGTCCGAAATTTTCTTGCTATATTTTCCTGCTATACAGTATCAGTCCAAGGTTACGAATAATATTTTCAAAACGAAAAGTTTTCGTTTAAGGTTGGGTGGGTTGGATAGAGTTTCGTTTTGAAAATAATTATTGAATGCCGATGGAGAATGCTCAGTTACTTCTGGGTGTCGAAAATTGACATCAATATTTTATTGGAATTCGTTTTACCTGCAGAAAAGGCGGGTGGGTGGGTGGGGACTGAAAAATACAAAAACTTTTAGTTTTGTAAAAAAAATCGGTAACCCCGGACGGCCCCTAAGGGGCCATCCGTAATTATCGATCTTTTTCACGAAACGAAAAAGTTTCATTTATGGGTGGGTGGGTAGCGACCGGTTTCGTTTTGAAAAAACATCGAAAGCGGAAAAATCAACGCTCACTGGATGTAGATCTACATTGAAGTAGATCGACAGACAGTACGCCGCGCGGATGCACTCAGGGGCGTAGGAGGGGTTTTGGAAGTGGTACGGCCGAAGGTCCTTGCGGCCGAAGGCCGGGTTGGGGGGGGGGGTCCGGGGGACCTCCCCCGGGAACATTTTGTAAAAAAGACACAAAATCCTGCGTTCTGGGAACTTCTGGCGCACTTCTACGTGTACGTAACGTCGTTCGTAGTGTGCAGTCGAGTCGAGTACAGTACTCAGTAGGGTCTACGACTACAGATGCATAACAGATCTACGAGTCTAGAAAAAGGTCAAAGTCTGATGCGCATTATATGCATGCCATCGATGGATCCTGATTTTTTATCACGGTTTTGCACGTTTCGGACGGACCACACTTTTCGAAAAGTGGTACGGCCATGGCCGTACCAGTCGTAGCGGGTGCTACGCCCCTGGCACTGATACCACTCTGTACTCAGTGCAGTGAGTTCCTTTCGTCCCCGTCCTCGGATGACTTCTCCGACGAGGACCAAGCAGTCATCATGGTCATTCACTCTGGGACCGACGACAGATAGATAAATATTTCGTTCCAGCCGCCGATGCAAGAGAATTTAAAATTACGGAGCGGGGCGCACGCCAAGTAAACTCTCACGCAAATATGGGGAGCGCCAGCCGCTGAAGACGATGTCGTAATGTACCTGGAAGAATCTGATCGTGCTTATGGTGGGGAAGCCATGGAGAGTGATCCCCGTGTCGACAGTCTTCCAGAGACGGAAATTTAGGCCATCGACTTTCTACGTACTGCAAGTACCTGATTGACGGCAGCGCGGCGTGCGTGCGACCTTACGGAGCTCTCCGACATCGATTCTGGGGCGATGCTGCTCTCATTTGCGAACGAGGCACGCCGCACGACCACTAAAGTCTGTGATAGCTATGGCGTTTGTTTCCGCTCCGAAGTCGTCTTGTTTTGGCAGTATCATGTCAATGTCGGAACTCTGACGATTTGCAAGTGTACAATTCCCGTGTTTAGACGTAGAGGTGCTCATTTTGTGGTAGGTGAAAATAAATGTTTCCATGGTCAAGAAGTAGTACCAGACTTCCAAGAAAACATACTTGTAACTAAATACTTACTTGCACAATCACACAAAATTAAAATGTGGCCTCACTGTGTTGTAACAGCCAATCAAGATCATTTTCTGCACAAAGTCTCAAGTCAATTAATTTTTTCGTTTCAGGGGGGTGGGTGGGTGGGGGTGGGTCATAACTAAACTTTTTCGTTTCGTGAAAAAGATCGATAATTACGGATGGCCCCTAAGGCAGAGGGGTGTCTGAAGCACAACTTGTTTGACGTTTCTTTACTTTCGCGGGAGCCATACATTTACTGTTTTTCTTAGAACTTCAGCAGGGATGTTTAGTTACACGTAATGGATACTCGAATGTGTGTGATTTATGTAAAGTTCATACAGCGTTTGTACTGTTGTGTTAACCCTTTGGCGTCCATGGTTCGATTTCGAACCATGGGCATTTTGTATGCACGTGGGTGCAGTCAAACTTTCGGTTCTCGGCCAAATCTTGACCAAATTTCAGCAATCGAAGGGTCTAGGGGGTAGAAAAAAACTCTCAGCTATCGCCTCGAACAGGTCCGAAGGCTCTCCGATAAAGTTTGAGTGAGCGGCGGGCGATCGAACATTTTGAATTTTCTGCGCTGCGTGCTGCGAGTCAGCAGTGTATGAAAAAGGGCTTTTCCCAGCTTCATGACAGGCGACATGTGCCGGACCGGCGCGGCGCAAAGTCACGGCGAGGTAAGCTTCTACTCGAAAACATTTTGAACAGTTCCGAGTAGGGGTCAAACGGGTGTACCGGGTACCCGCCCGCTAATCTCAGGTACCGTTAGTAAAAGGGTACCCGTTTGTAAAAATAAAAAAAATAAAAAATTAAAAAAGGTATCTCGATGATCCTATCGTATGCCGAGACTCAAAATTGGAGTGCGGATACTCTTTTCCTTTTACCTGTGCATTCCCGCTTTCGACTTTGTCAGGCAGTAGCAGGCTGAAAGACACTCTTTCTCTTCTGTAGTGCACGTAAAAATCCTCGTACTGGAGGTTTTTGATTGTGATGTGAGAAAATGCAAGACTTGGAACTCGTTCGAGGTGGCAGCTGAGTTACTAGAAAGTTACGCTGGTTCTCCGACATCGATATGATTGTATGGCAGCTGAGTTACTAGAAAATTACGATGGTTCTCCGACATCGAAACTGCCACAGTGCTTGAAGATGAACTAGTGTCACCAGGCTGAGTGACCAGTCGAAGTGTCACACACGGTGATGTCCGTAGGTGGTAGCTATGATACTCATGGTTGTAGTTTGTTCCTTCAATCGACGAGCTTGGTATTCATGTACAGTCAAACCTCGTTAGGACGAACTTCAAGGGACTGAACAAATTTGTTTGTCTTATCGGGAGTTCTTCTTATCCAGATCTGACAAAAAATCGATATGCATATCAGATGGATTGTTTTTACGTGAAGGTGCATGCTGTGGTACATGGGAAGCATGTTATTCTTAGCATAAGCCAGAAACAGGTACATGTACATGTAAGTACAATGACAAAGTTTAAAGTGCAATGAATCACGACTGTGTCGAAAGTTAGTTCGTACAACGCACTGATTATTTTGTTCAAAACGCGCTTGAAAACAATTTGCACTGTACGTAAAGTAATGACCTCGACTATTGAAAAAAAGAAGAAAAAAGGCAGCCAGCGCACGCGCACGCTCCTGGACCGAAAGTTCGTACTACATGTACATGACCACACTGACTTTGTTCAAATCACACTTGAAAATAGTTCGTCTTCGCGAAAGTTCGCTGTACAGAAGTTCGTCTTAAACGAACAATTTTGACTAGAATTGATGCCTGGCCAACCATAGGATTGACCTTAGTTTGTACTAATGGAAAGTTCGCCTTATCAGTGTTCGTCCTAACGAGGTTTGACTGTAGTTGAAAAGTAGTTCAAATTATTGCATACAAGATTTCGGATTTGTGAAGATTCGTTTCACGAGTTCAACGAGCTAGCAGCTAGCTGGCCAGCAGCACATCAGCTGTGTCAGGCACCCCAGCTAGCTATGGGTGCGAACATCTTCTGAATGTGAAGAGTACCAGCTCTCTGCAAACGTAGCAAATAGCGCGAGATCACGGAAGTTTTGCTAAACTACTCTGTCCTTGCATGGCTTGAATCACATCGATCTGCAGTTGATTTGCGTACGTGTATCAAAATACATGTAGCACTAGGACCATGTACGATTGTAACTGCCTGTGAAGTTGTGTACATGGGCAAATGTACAGATGACATTCATTTGAAACCTTCATTGCCATAATATTATTATGAGACCCGAATCAATTGCGAATCATAATGTGGTATCAAATACAACCTGAGAATATACAAATTTAAATCATGATTTATGTGAGAAATGCGCAAAAAATTAATATGGCTGCTAAAGGGCACCCGTTAACCCGCCCGTTAAGAAAATTACCCGTTCGTTAGTTAAAGGTACACCCGTTTGACCCCTAGTTCCGAGCTAGATTCAGTGAAATGGCTACAGGAGACCGATTTCGTCTCAGATCTGGAGCTGGACTCGCATTTGGAGCGCGTTGTGGCGGACAATAAGTATTGCTGTTGGCGAGTTTGGGCTCATTGTATTTCTCTCATCAAGAGCTTTCCAACGAGCCCAAGCCAAAATCGGTGAAGTAGAACCAAAGTTATGTTGGAAATTGAGTGCGCATTTTTGTGACTGCCATAAATTCCGAGGAAGCAAAAAAAGCTATGGACTCCAAAGGGTTAAGTGACTTTAGTCACATGGATTCAAAACTTGTAAAAGTACGATTGCGTGTAAAACATTATTGTTTTGGACAGAAGCGAAACCTTGGATAAGGTTTCGGGTGCTGGACACAACAAAAGCACTTTGAAAAAATTGTATTCACCTTTTCGTATCGATTATAGGTGTGCTGGTTGAGACTATTTTGTGCCTCGGATTGCTGTTCAAGATAGACATCACACGCTATTTGATTTTTCAGCACGTCTGTTTTTATCTTGACCCGAGTTACGGCGGAG